ACGCACACGTGTGTATATATCCATATCCCGAGGATAGGTTGGTTTTTAAAACGGTGATGAGACCAACTCTAGAGAGAGTTTGGAGAGATTTGCTCTCAGGCCAAAAACAAAAACAAAAAACACCGGGAGGGTCTGGGCTTTTTGACTTGTAAAACTTAGTCGTGATAGACACGCCAGGATCGCTCCTACAGAGGCTGTGGACCACCTTCAGTTGAGGGCATGTGTTTAGGTTTGTTATGGGAATTCAAAGGAAGTGATCTTTATTGCCATAGAAAAATCAAGTGCCGCAAAAGCATAGCTTAGTTTGGGTCACTTTTTAAAGCTCCCTCCCTGCTGTTGAAAATATTCCCACCCCTTTAAGTGGACGTTAAAAGAAAGTCAAAGTAAGACTGGGAAGTTTCCTCAAAGTCCTATAGACTTTTTTTTTTTTTTTTTGGTGAGAGAAAAAAGGCGATCCCTGTTGCAAGTGTGCACTGTGGAAAGGTCATCTCCCTGGGCCACTGTTTCTCTCCAGATTTCTCCAGCAATATACTAAATATTGCTCTTTTGTTAAGAAATAAACCTCTCTGTGAACACTAAGTTGGTGCTGAGCAGTCCTTTTCGGGCATCAAAGTTGAAAAAGAAAAATTTTACACATGAATAAAACTTAAAGTTTAGTTTTAGGCCTCCCAAATTCAGCCTGAAATCACTTTTCTTTCCACCTTTCCTTATTATTTTTCAAACATGTCTTCCCATAGACATGAATTATAGTTTTCCAACCCAGCATTCTCTCTTCCCGCTCTGATGCTTTCCATGTGAAACATCAGTTACTTCTTTGAGGGTAAGACTCAGTGCATGATGCGATTATGAATATTTCTCATCTGTGTCCACACAGGCAAAGATGAGTCTGGGCTACTGGTTTTGTAGAAAGAAATCAATGTCTTGTTCAATCATACAAGGGTTCATGTGAATAAATACTTCACCTCAGACTTGTTCTCCCCTGCCTTCAGAAAAACAGTTAACCAATCCTGATCGTTAATGGGATCATCAGTTTGAACTCATGGCTAACCTGGCAAATAATGTTTTTAAAGACATTGAAAAAAGGAACCCATAACAGGGTCAAATTTTTTCAGTTTCCCACCTGAGGGGGGTCACAGGGAGGAGAGTATTATTAAGAGTAGTAATAGGCTGGTGCCCTGGCTCACGCCTATAATCCAGTACTTTGGGAGGCTGAGGTGGGTGGATAATGAGGTCAGGAGTTCGAGACAAGCCTGCCCAACATGGTGACACCCCATCTCTACTAAAAATACAAAAATTAGCTGGGCGTGGTGGTAGGCGCCTGTAATCCTAGCTACTTAGGAAGCTGAGGAAGGAGAATTGCTTGAACCCAGGAGACAGAGGTTGCAGTGAGCCGAGATCTCACTACAGCATTCCAGCCTGGACGATAGAACAAGACTCTGTCTCAAAAAAAAAAAAAAAAAAAAAAAAAAGAGTAGTAATAATAATGGGAAGCTGAGATGGCATACCTTTGCAATTCAGGTAGTAAACCAAGTTTCGTACAGAAAAGAATTGTTCACTGAAATTCACAAGGAAAAATATCCTGGAATATCCTAAGAAGAGTTGCAAAGGTGTGAGAACTGATATTACCTGTTGTGCTCCATGGTTTCATTCTTCTGGAATGGGGTGGTTGTGTGCTTTTAGGAGTTGAATTGGGCTTGTCTGTGGTATGCGTGGGTTTCATTTTTTTCTTGTCTGCTTGACTTTTGGATTTATTTCCCCCCATAGCACTAAGCAACAGGGAAACATGGATGTGTTTCTTCAAATGCACAACTTGGATAATCAAGTAAATTAAAGAACAAATTTCAGTACTCTCGCCTCAGAACTGCTGCCATCTCTGCACCTGTAACGCAGACCATGAAAAAGCTGGTTATTTATTTTGTACTTTCTGCCTCTCAGATCTCTAGCGAGTTGACCCGATTTTTGCAGCCCTTTTACCCAAGCAATGAGGAATCTTCCCCACTGTACCTCCCCCTGCCCCTCAACCCCATAACTGAGTGGCTTAGGAGATCTGTAACTGGGATGATGCAGCTGTTGGCTTCATGCCGTCCTCTAACTTGATTATTCTTTGGACACGTTAGGCAAGCATTAGTGATTGATAATGACGCTAATTAACCCCTTTCCTTTCCAAACAGTAAACTGCTGCCAGCAGGATGCTACAAACAATAAATATAAAACACTGCATACATCAATATCTGTTTAAAGCACAACTTCATTTGGGCACATTTAACTGTACTGCTTTCAGTTAAAAATTGGGTATTTATTCAAGTACTTCTCCAAAAGCCAAGGGGGGAGGCAGAGAAAGAGAGAGGGTTAAGAAAAGGAGCCTGTGGCTTTAAGACCACAAAATGCTGTCATACCTGTCAGCTGCTGCAAAGTTAAGCTCTAATGGAAACCATGCGTAATTTTTTTTTTATTTCAAGTCTATACTTTTAAAAAACTTAATTAATCCAGCTTTGTTCTTAACCTATTTAAACTTAACACAAGGCTGATGACCGCAGATGATTTTTTTCTTCGTGGGGGAAAGTAGCTCTCCTGCCTGACATGGAATTATTGTGAATTTACTTTTGGCTGACAAAAGGTATGGGGAGACATTGTCTCTTTCAAAGAGTGGTAAAACGTAGATGTTATAACAGCAGGATTTGGGGAAACCAGGGCAAATTTGATCTGATTGTGCAGTCTAACATAACCTGAGTTGTAAAGAAGTGTATATTAAATTTGGAATTTTGATAAATGAATATTCCTAGCAAGTGAATAAAATGTATTCAATTAACTAAAACCCTGTGCACTTCTGAACTGAAGTGGAATCGACTGTAATTGATTTATTTGAAACCAGAGGTTAAGGACTGAATTAGCTAAGTACAACTGGGTATTTCAAGCCACTGACTTCTCAAATGTCAAATCCCTTCTATTTTAAATATTATTTCAGCTGCGGGGCATTGCAGTCCTGATGGTAGTTCCATCAAGAACACAAATTATATTAATATTCGATTTTGGGGAGGAATGGATGGGATTGCAATTTTTAAAGGGTGTTAGAGAATAGAGGAGGTAATGATGACTACCAAACTCCAAGGGGCATTGTGTTTCCATAAAAATTGGGTGTGGTAATTAGCATAGCCTGGCAGCAAGCATCCTTATAATTCAACTATGTATCCTAATTTAGCTTAGTCCAAAAAGAATCACTGCTGTTAGTTTACAAACACCTGTCCTGTCAAGCAATCACCATGTGTTTTAGAAAGTATACATCGGTCACCACAGAGAAAGCCAAAATCTACATAGCCTTTGGTGAATCCAACAAAAGTTATTTTTAATATAATCTCTCTAATCCTCCCATTTCTTAAAAATATACATAACTTCTATTTTTTTGTTGTTAACAAAAAAGAAAAAGAGAAGGAGTCAATATCAAGATCCTCAAAATGTCCAACTACCGAATAAAAATAGCTAATTCTCTGCATTTGGAAACCATTGTTTATTATGACCTTGTAATGTTCTAACCCACCATTTCCTTTCTGTCTTTCTCAGGATGCAAGGATTATATTGGGTTCAGGTTTTCCAACATAACAAGCATCTGTAAATCCAGATATGAATGAATGGTATTTAATAAGATTGTTTTCGTTTTAAAATGAGTATTTATGTGTCGTTGGAGACAGAGCAGCAATGTATGGCTGTTTATGAATGCTATTGTGCCTGAGGTTAGGATCCCCCACACAATCTGAGATGCAGCCAAGAAAAACAGCCCTGATAGACAATGCTTCACTTCACCTGCTACAATGCTGTGTGCATTTCATTTCTGTCAAGAGTATGTACAGTTAGGGTTCATTCGCCTCATTATTTTGTTACATCTACGTTACAGTTAACCAGTCTCTCTAGGAAATAATAAATAACCGCTTTAAAAAACAATTGCCGCCTTGCGTTCGGAGAATACACTTTCCATTTGAATTCTTTTTTAAACCCACCATTGTTATGAATTTTCTGGCTTCAGAAAATAGAATTTAGACTCCACCAACTCTCGTTCGTTTGTCGAGATTGATTTTACACTGCCTTCCATAAGGAGATTAGAAAGCAAAAGGCTGCAAAATGGACATTCTCTAATGCTTTGCTTCCTTGGTCCTTCACAATGTCAGACCACAGGAACAAATGTTAAATCTCCACCAGTCTGTCTACCTAGACACTTGTTCTGTGATCGCTCCTCTAAACCTTCCAGTTAACCACCTCCTTTTGCTTGTTAAAAAGTCCTCTTCCCTTCCAAAGCAAAGAATTTCCAAATCAGTTTACAAAGGTCTGGATTCGCCATCTTTACGCACAGGAAGTCCTTCCTTCTCTCAGAGCTCAGCACACAGTCCTCTTATTGTAGAAGACAGATACGAGAGGCCGGCTTCACAGCCCTCCCCCATCCTCCCACCCCACCTCAGAGAAGGTTTTATATTTCTAAAAGGTCCTAAGAGGAGCTCTCTGGTGATAGGAAAGGGTGGGCTGGCATTTAGGGGGCAAGCAGGAAAGATTCAAGGGATCAACATCATTCCTAACGCCTGTCTCTACCTCGAGAGCTACAGGAGAACATCTCTAAATAAAATATGAAAATAAATGGGAGACAGTTTGCCCTCTCTTTCCCTGCTCTATGTATATTTCTGCCACTATTCCTTTTCTGTCAGAAAACTGGAGCTGGTCTTAGCTCATTTGCTTGTCTTAGCCACCAAATAGCCTGGGCAAGCAAGTGAACGTTGAAGTGGTTTGTGCTAATGAACAAACAATTTAAATCTCAGTTATCCTCTGAGACAAATTCCAAAGCAGTTATGGGGGGGGGGCGCTATTAGACAGGGGTGGGGGGGAGGGGAGGGCTGCTGGTGGGAAGTTTCTTCTGTTCTTCTCTTCTCCATCTTCCTGGTCATCCTTAACATTTGGTCCTGTAGATTTTATATTTTGCTTTCCAAAACACAAATGAAAACCTAAAGGATCAACATAAATAAAATAAAACTTTATTTTTAATAATAAAATTAATGTTTCTAGTAAGGAGAAGACAGTATGTCATTCCTTTAGCAGTACAAACAATCTTTTATCCAAAAGAATACATCGGGCTTTATTGTGTCATTTGTCTGAATACAGACTCAGTGGAATATCGAAATGATACCCTGCTCTGAACTCCAAGTTGAAAGTAAGTTTTTATTATACTTGAGGGAAACAATGGGTTCAGCTGCTTATTGCAAGGAGCAATTGCCAAGGGAGAGTTAAACTCAATTACTGTAACCATACTGAATAAAAAATACTGCCAAGAACAAAAATACGCCTGGGTAAAGACAGCCACTGAATAAAAAAAAATCGACATAAAGCGTATCAAATATTTATTTATCTGGGCAACAAAGGACTATGATACATTGACAGGCATGGAGACTACTGCCAGCACAACTCAATACAATGCAACTAGAACTGCTTCCAAAATGGCCAGTGAAAATACAGAATACCAGGTGGTCCCAAATGTTTGAAGTTCTTTGAACAAAAAGAGAGAGGAGAGAAAGAGAGAGAGAGAGGGGAAAATTCCCTAACCCTTGGTTTAAAGACAATATTCATTTATTGCTCAAATGCTTTTAAGGGAGGACAGTGGAATAAAATAAACTTTTTTTTTTTTCTCCCTACAATACATAGAAGGGTTATCAAACCACTCAAGTTTAAAAATCTTTCCAGGGTCCAATATCACTTTTTTTTCTTTCAGTTCAATGAAAAGCTAAACGTAATAATACTAATTATAAATTTTATTTTACTTTTTAAAAATTTGTCCAGCTGTTTCATTGTCACCTTTAACATGCTACAACAGGGCGAAACTCATGAATCCCAGAGAAAAAAAAATCCCCCAAACATTGGATTTCTAAATCAGTACCATGAACCACATGAAAAACTAATAGGAAGATTCAAAACCCACTAAACAAGAGGTAAATGAGATCAGATAAATTAAAAAAAAAAGGCTTAAAACAGACTCACCATATTTACAATTCCCATTAAATTACACATAAATAAATATATACAGAGACGTGAACACTGATTCCCTTATATAAATGCGAATCGTGTTGCCAGAGAAAGTTCAAGTTGGTCGCTTTACCTTAAAGAGGAAAAACTTCTACAACTGAAGACATGACATGGAACTTCGTGTATTTGTGTTCAAGTTTATTCACAATACTGATAAAAATGTTGTCATCATCCTTTTGGCTTTTTTTTTTTTAAAGTATGGCTACAATCTGAACTGAAGTATGTAAGGGAAGGTGGTGATTCAGTCCCATGAAGCGCATATAATTTTTTTTTATTTTTACTTTTTTTTTTTAGAAAAAAAGTTTTTAATTTTTTTCTGTTGCTGTTGTTGATTTGCTGTTTCGTTTAAAAAAAAAGGGGGGGGTTCATAAACTCGGCAGAACTTTTCTCTGCTGGCTTCACGGCCTGTTCTGTTCTCTTAGGCTCCACAGGAGGGCACAGGGGTGTAGAAGTAGGAGTGGGTGGGGAGGTCGAGGGGGGAGTCGGAGCGGCTGCCCCACTGACAGTCGAGAGAGCAGTCCCGGAGACTGGGGGGACCCAAGGGCAGCGGTGGCGGCGGCGGCGGCAGCAGCAGCAGCAGCAGTAGCAGCAGCAGGAAGGGTTGCTGATCCCAGAGCTGTCACCCGCCGGTGGGTGGGCGCGCGGGGGCTGGTGAGGCGCAGGGCGGGAGGAGAGCTCACTTTCTGTGCTTCTCCTCTTTGTCACTGCTTTTGGCGTTGTTGTCCGTGTGGCTGTTGGGGTTGTTGCTGAGGTACATTTTGTCCATGGCCTTGAGGGCCTCGGTGAGATAGTTCTGCAGGGCCGTGACCGCGGCGCACACCGCGGGGCTGCCGAAGCCGTGGGAGATGAGGTTGAAGTGGGTCAAGCAGCTCTGGATGCCGGGCTCCAGGATGGGGTTGGGCCGCGAGTTCCCCAAGGGAGATCGGTCCTGAGCCAGCAGGTCGGTGAACTCCTTGCAGATCTGTCTGCAGCACAAGTGGAGCAGAGAGAGCGACATAAGGCTCCACCTTGGGCAGCACCAGCAGCAAAGAGAAAACCTCTCTCCCTGCAGCTACCACTGCTGGGATCCCGCCCGCACCTGACATCACCTAAGGCCCCAGGGACAGACCGTGCGACCACACGTTGGGAGAACCAGGCACCTCTCAGTGGTCACTAAACCATCTCTCTTTACTAAAATGCAAGCCCTTCCTACCTTCACAAATGACTCTCTCTCTTTCTCCTCTCAGATATGTTAAACTTCCATTCCCATCTTTCTCCCTCACACCAAACGTCCTAGACGTCCTAGTCCTAGACGTAGGAAACCATTTCACACATTAGAAGAGAAAGAAAGAAGTCAGGCAGACCGGAAGTCAGAAACACTAACATCCTGCCAATATTCTGCTGCAGCCGTCAGCCTTCCTATTCAAAACGTCCTAAAGACCGTCTTCCCTGCTCCTCTAGAGAGACCTCGGCAGCAGTGTGTAGAATGAAGTCCCCACTCCTGCACCTTCCAATCAAATTCAGTTGAATTTGGACAGAAAGGCAAAACTTTGCTTGGGATTATTTTGCCTTTAAAAAATAACAACAACAGTAACGAAAACCAGCAGGCATACACACACACACCCTGTTACTTGGAGATAATTCAAAGTAGTGTTTGGGAAGAAGAAACAGACATTTTAATTTCCCATTTCTCCTCTTTCCCCACATAGGTCAAAATAAATATACTGCAAATTGTGAAGATGGGTGTGCTCTGGAACCCTGGGGAAAAGAAAAAGTTGAAATCTCACAGAAGTAGATGAGGCCTGTACTCAGGAAGCTCTGTCTCTGATTTCTGGGAGGCAAAGCCTCGCTGGGGCCTTCCCAGGGCCACAGCAGCCTGGCCTAGGGGGCTGGGGAGGGGGATAAGCGAGGAACCTGGGCTGGCTCAGTTCTCCAAGGCCGGCTCATGTTCCCAGGCCAGAAACAGGGTCTCACCCAAGGCCTCAGCTTATGCCCTCTGCTTCCATGCCCTCCTGTGACATCAACTTTGATAATTAGGGGCTTCCCAACAAGCCTTTTAATTTCCAGAAAAATATCAAAACAGTCATTTTCTTTTCACACACCACCTGGAGAAGCCTATTCAGTCTAGGCACCAATGGGAATATAACTTGGGCCACTTTGAAACCTATTTGACTTCTCGCCTGTAGAGTAAAACTTCTGTGGGGTGTGTGTATCTCTCTCTCTCTCTCTGTCTCTCTCTCTCTCTCTCTGTCTCTCTCTCTCTCTCTCTCTCTCTCTCTCTCTGTAGTACTTTCGAGAAGGGGGTGTGAAAGGAAGGTAAGAAATGGAATAAGGATTTGGGTTGAAACTAGGACAGCTTCTGGCTTGCACATTTTACAGGCCACGGTTTAATCTTTGCCCTTGGAGAATATATTGACAGGAGACAAAAAGTGATATAGGTAAGCCTGTTACCCCTTTGAGGATTTGATTCTGGTCTTTCTGAAAGAACGTAGTCACAAATCCATCCTCAACTTCCAGCAAACCTCTCCTACGTCCCACCCCCATACACACTCATTTTAAAAAAATAAAAATGAGAAGGTGGGAGAGATGAGAGAGAAAAGTTGGGAGCAACCTAACAATCCCACCTGTATTTCTCCCTTAACATAGACTATGATTTATAAGACGGTGTTGTAACTTCAATATCTGCAACAAAGCTGATGAACACAAATGGAAAACAAGAGAGAAGGAAGAGCAAAACAATTTTTGTTTCTCTTGACAATGAGACCCAGAGACCCCGCAGAGGTAAATGCCTTACTTTGTAGCCAGGAGCATGTTTTTTCTTGTCACTTGCTCATTGGGATCGGAATGTTGTCGGTTGAGAAATTCAGCTACTGCTTTGGCAGGAAATTCGGTTTCACACACGTACCCAAAGTCCCTGGCTAGGTGGACAGCTTCTCCTGTCAAGAGGGGAGAGGAGGAAGCCAGTGCAAGAGAATGAAGAGTAGGGATCCCAACTTCTTCCCCACTATCAACTCCCTTATTCCCTTCACCCCAAATGCGGCAGGAAACACAAACTACTTGTTTTCTCATTTCAGGCATTTTATTTCCTTCCTTCTCTGTGGGATCTGGTGGATACATTTATCAGGAAAAATGACCACTTGTTCTAGAGGGCCAGGAAGACTTGAAAATGTAAATCCCATCCACCAACTTCCAGTCCCATCCCCCATGCCAAATAGCATTTCTCCAAATTCTCTTTTAAAATGCTTCTTATATTCCAGCTTCAACACCTATCAACACATTCATAAATGATACTCATAATTATTCCTTGAGCTTTTCTGGAAGGGAACAACTGAGGGGTTACATTTTAACTTGATCACATAAATTATCTGTTCATCCAAACCGATTAACCAAGAGGATTTGAGGGTCACTCCACTGAGTCTGTCTGTGTTGTTGATTTTCGAATCTTTGGTTTTAATTTCCTGAACCAGTTGGTTTTTACTGCAGGGCTTCCTGCCATTAGCTCCAGCTCCGGAAGAACGCATGCGCCAATTAGAGCATCAAAGCCCTCTCCGCAGAGCTTGTTTCCATAAAATGGAGCGGATCACAAACAATAACAGTTCTCCAGAAACTGCCTCCCTGCTACAGAACTCAATCCCCAAACCCAGACAAACTCTCACGCTATACCCCAAGCCACCACTACCATTTTCTTGGCATATAATTCTTTTGGGAGTATGAAGAGTGGGTTCTCTACGGACTGGTACGATTTTTAATGTAATGCTACTGTAGCTCAGTTTCTGGCACTGAACTATTGCTGATTTTCTAAACAGTTATATTACTATCAATCTCTGACATTATCAACAAATGGAATTCATAGGATTCCTCCTCAAATATATGGTTTTAAACATTTAAAGCATAATTTACAAACTACAACTTTAATTGTTATGTATCCCCTCAAATAAAAGATGTGAATAAGATAAAACAACTTCTTTAAATGTACATGCTAGTTTTAAAATCTGTCTGGTAATTAAAGTAACTTTTATTCCCTGTTAGCGAGAGACATTTACAAAAGGACACAAAGCAAAACAGGAGAGCTGCAGATTCAATTCAGTACACCCAAACCTAGGCCAATCTTGTATCAGAAAACTTAATCTAGAGGCAGCAGGAATGTGAGTGGCTTCTGGTGACACTTATCTAGAGCAGGGAGTGAGGATGAGGGTTGGCTTTTTGTTTTGAGGCGTTTGGAAGGGTGTGTGTGTGTTTACAGCTGCAAGGAGGAACTTTTTGCAATGCTTATGTTTCTTTTATCTTTCCAAATCCACACAATCTAGAATCAAAAATTGCTCACTTTTCTTCTTCTCCAAGAGAAAAGCACAATTAAACAAGAGATAAGGGAGCATATGTTTGGAAAACAAAAACCTGAAAGGGCACATTACCCTCAGCTTTCAGGACGGTCTTAAATCAGGACGCAGGTCAAAGATTCCCAAATTAATTCAGGAAGTAATGGTCACGCATTTCTCAAACGCAGATGTCAGAATAACGTAAGTGATTTACTGCTGAGCCCTTTAAAGGAGACAGGAACTTGGAGAATGTGCAGTTCTTAAACTTGTGCATTGTTTAGGTCAGAATTAGGCTGGAGAGGTCTAACTTTATGGTAGAGAAGGAGGAGGAAGGATGAAGGTATAAGAGTATATGCAAATGTTTCTTTTTGCCATGCAAGAATTCTGTTCACATCTGGCTACATTCTCTGCAAAGATGAAACTGCCCAACTGACACAAAATACAACCAAACATCTGGCCACTAAATATTATTCATTTTCCCAAAAGGTAGGTCCTTCTAGTTAGCAAGTGGGTTCGCTTACCCTCTACTAGTGATGTGAGCAGGGTAACGTTGGCAGCTTTACGTCTCCCTGCTGGCAGATTTAATCCTATTTTGTCCAGTTTTTCTCTTAAAGATCTTCCTCCGTTTTTAGACTTCGCCCTGTTTCACAAATATATGCAAGAAAGGGATTTAGAAAACATTGGGTTGCTCTGTACTACATTAAAATCATTGTGAAAGCTTCCTAAACTGTGCTTTCAAAAACTGAGAAGCTTGGCCCCAAGACATTTAAAGGAGGAAAACCTAGGAATAGTACAGCAAGTTCATAGGAAATAAATGCCTGTTAAACTGTAAAGCACTCCCTATGTTTAGTTATTATTGCAACACTTGTGGCAGGTTGAAAAGTTTTGATTTCCCAACTCTCTAAAGAAGAACCACAAACAAACAAACACAGCCTGATCTCTAGGGTTTGAGGTATTCTTGAGTTCAACTGATTACTGTATATTTTCTCTGATGTTACAATCACACAAATCCCAACAGGGTCTTTAAAACTGTCTGTGCAAGATATGCTGTTAGGTTGTTCTGAGTAACCAAAGTTATCATCACTCTCATGTTTCTTGCTCTGGCTCTAGCCCCAATGGGAAATTCATTTCACCAACTGTTTACATGCCATGTCACCAGCCTAACTGGAAACGTCAAAGGCTGATATCAGCCCTTAAAAGTTTCACTGATTTCAGAGACAATGGAGGCAGTTCTAAACAGATGTCTAAATAGAATCCCATAATCAGAAAGTGGTTAAGATAAATTGTTTAAATAAAACAGCAAATTAATTAATTTCAGATTTTATTCCCTACTCAAGTGCTCTTTAATTGTGTGGATTAGATTATACTCCCCTAGGTAAACAGTCTCCAATATTGGGGATGGGGGAAGGGAAGGAAAAAGCAGAGGGCAGGGAAAAGATCTGTGTCAGTGAAAGATTACAAAGGGAAAGCAAAATGACTGTGCAGGAGGAAGAAAAGACTAGAAAGGTTGATGTTAAAACCTTCCAGAAAATGATCTTTATGCACTTTATATGGGACATAGCCTTTAGAAAGGAACTGTGGGTCCATTAACAGATAGGTAAATGAATAAAACTCAAAACAATGAAGTTCTCAGCACGATTAAAGAAGAAAGAGGAGAAGAAACATATTATCCAGGCAAGTTCAACACAAGCCCCACAACTCACAAAGTGGAGTGGAATTCTAGGGGGAGGAAGCCCACAGCAGGGAGAAATCTGCCCTGAGAAAAGGTGCTTTACCTTGCTGACCCTTATAAAATCTTATCTACTAAATGAATCATTCAAACCTCGCAGGGGTGAGGTAAGAATCCCTGGCCATGTATGTAACAGCTGCATTCCTTGGTAGTGACTACACACAATGCACGTAAACATGCTCGCACGCAGCCTGGCACACATCAGGGTCCCAGTACATAGGAACAGTCATATGCAAACGCCTATAGCACGGGAGTCGGGAGGTGACAGCAACCGGGGGACACGGCGTGTGGACTCAAGAGGACACCATTCTCTTCCTTTAGTTAAAAGCCATTCTATTAAAACCCTATTCCAGACACGACCGGTTACCCTCGGAGACCCTAGTCAGAGGTAAGGCAAAGCGAGGTGCCTGAGAGGAACTTTTCCTGGGATTGCAAGGTGTGAGAGAAGAGTGAAAAGCTGGCTGCACGGCGCCCCGCGGCTGCGGCGGCCGGGACTGAGCCCGCGGCAGAGCGAACTGCGCCTGCGCAAGGCAGGCCGAGGCGGAGGACCCCGCGAGCGCGCGGCAGCGGACTAGGCGCGCACCAGAACCCGGGAGCGCGCAGGAAGGCAGCGGAGAGCGCTGACGCGCGCCGCCTCGCTCGCCGCACCTCCACCTCCCCCAATCCCGCCCACTTGGCCCTACGCTCTTCTCCCCGCCCCCTTTCCTTTCCCGCGTAGGGAGGGGCGCGGCGCGAGGCTGGTTTGCGTCGCCTCCGCCGCCCCAGCGCAAGCGCAGTGATTCCCCCGGCCGCAGGGCGGGACGGGCGGGGCCGTGACAGGCCTCACCTCCGGAGCACTCCGCCCAGTAGCGACGCGTTGAGACACTCGGGTGGTGAGAGCCGCCGCTGCACTTCCGCCACCGTGACCTTGTACTTCGAGGTGGAGCTGAGGAGCGAGAGGCGACCCGGAACTGAACAGAAGACTTCGTTGGGGTTCACCACGCCGCCGAAGAGGTTGTCCTTATTAATAGGGATGGCGGAGACGGCATTGCTGTTGGACTTGGACAGGGACACGGGGCCTGCGGAGACAGAGGGGAGGCCGCGTGTGGGCGTCGTGAATCCCCCCCAAATCCTGTCCGATCCCGGTCCTCATCCCAGCCAGGGCCAGCTCCCAGGCTTGGGCCACAGCCCCCGCTTTTTTTTTCCCGTCCGGCTCGGAAATTCTGTGGCTCTGTTCTCATCTTGCTACTTCCCTTTCCGTTCCCTTCCTCGGCCTCGAGCCGCTCCTTGCCTCACCGGGCGCCGGGAGGCGGACCAGCACTCCCCCAACCAGCCTGGCCTGCGTTTCTGCCTTGACTCTTTCCCCTTCGCCGTCAAGGGTGCTCTCTAGAGATGGGTGGTGAAATTGGTGACCCCTGAGGCTCTGAGCATCCGAGCGGAGTGGGCCCCAGATGAGGGCCAGCAGCACGGGCTCAGGGTGCAGGGGAATTACATTTGCAAACCGGAGCAAGTTATTTGTACTTTTAGGGGTTTTGCTGGGTGAGGGGTTTAGTGTGTGTGGTGGTGGGGAATTGCTTCAAAGACCCATTATTAAAATCAGCTGACAATTTAGATGGCTAAAGTACCCTGTAAACGACCGTTTTAATTGAAGCACCACGCTGGGAAGTGTTGGATTTTGTTGTCCACACCACAAGTCCCATCTCTTTGATAAATAGGCCCTTTCCTATGTTCAATTTTGAAAACGTCTCAGTTTTGGAGATCTATTCCAAGGCCAGTTTTGAACTGGAGAGTAGGGAGGGACGCACAGGCCTACAGTGAAATACTAGCAACGTGCCCTTTTGTTAGGTAAATGCTTAATAGTCCCTCTGCTAAAGCGCCTTCATTGGGAAAGTGGGTATATATACACTTCTAGTTAAAACCATAGGCTCTTTATTGTTGGACCCACCATTGTTAGAAAAAAAAAAAAAAAAAAACAAAAACAGAAGACCGGCAGAAAGTATACTAATGCATAACGTTTCTCAGCACCAATATAATTCAGATGCATTCACAACCATTTGAATACAGTATGCATTATAATTTAAAATTCCATTTGGAGACATAATATGCACACAATCTCATCACTGTGTTGTTCCTTATGCGTTCTTTAATGGGGATATGCTAGATGTATAGGGAGGTGGGGGGCTCTAGGTTTTGGATAGATCACTTGTGACATTAATAGCTCTGGGGAGGCTAATAGAGACAATAGGAGTTAAACGAACTCTTGAGAGATTACTAATAAAAGAGCCAATTATCATGTCGACTTGGAAAGAGCATCTCTTAAGATTTATCCCTTGCACATCTAATTTGACGTGACAAAGACTTCACAGATGCAAAAAATGAAACTTTAAACTAGCTAACAATATACTTATTGGGGTTAGAAATGAGAACAGTTTTATATAGCATCGTCCTCTGGTGGTGCCTAGAATCCTGAAATGTAACATTGCTACCATAACCAAAAAAAAGCTGCTACCAAGAGTGAATGCCATTTAATCCAGTAAGCTTTATTTCTACTCACTAAACACAACACAAATTGCAAGTCCATTCAAATCACTTGACACTTTTCTAACAGTTTCTGCACTGAACAAATATGCTAATAATCCTCACATCTTCAGGATGCTAATTTTAACCAAAAGCTAAAATTTAGTTAACCTACTTCACAAAGTTCTAAGACCCTTAAACAGCTAACAAGAAGCTGAACTGAAGAACATGAGTGGTTTTTTTTCTCTGCTAAAGAGTGCTTTTCACCATCTCTGTCCTTAACGCTAATAATAAATTATTTGTACTATTTTAGCATTATACACTTCTTAACATTTATCCATGAAATGGATTAAACTATTAAACTCTTTCAAAATTGAAATGCTACTTCCAAGTCAGTTCAACTACTGTACATTTTGTGTTTGTCCAAATATCATTAAACTAAATTAAATGGTCAAATCATGAATCAGAACAAAGCTAGCCTGTTAGCATTACCAACATACTGAGAGCTGATTATTTAAGCATTGCTGTTCTGTGCCTATCTATTTGCTAATTCTGAGCCTTTAGGAAATCCTATTTGGAAAAAATAAACACAGCTCTGCAAGTTCTTTTAAATAGCACTCTGCCTGTAAGGACATGCTTGGAATGCAGAAGGAAATGGCTTACCTTTCTTAATTACAGTTTGATCTGGGATGTTAATACCCGGGTCTTCTACATGCTGCAACAAAAGGATACACATGGATGTAAGTGTATAATCAAAACAAAAGGAAATGAATATTCCCTGCAAAATGGGAGGAGGGGAAGGTGTAGAACTAAAATTCCTCCTCCCATATAATGACATTTATATATAAACATCTCATCTTGGCTTATTGGAATTTGGGGCTTTGCAACTCAAGAGGTTTCACTGCACACCAATGGCCAATTTCTCCTCCTCCAGCAAATAATCCATGTTTAAAGGGGGTGGAGATGGGGAATAAAACTTTCTTTGGAAATTGAATCAAGTGTTGGAGCACCTAATCATTCTCAGTCAGTTCAACATTTAGAAATGTACCTAGCTTTAGATTGGCGCCTCAGCGGCTTCTGACTTTAGCAATTCCAGTGTTCAGGCAGCGAAAGCCAAGGAAACACAATAGAAATGACAGGGGTGGAGTAACAGGAGAGTGTTGGAAAAGGTTTAGATAGTATAATAAAGAGCAAACACATACACACCTTTACTTATGGAAAACTCCAAATAAATTTTTAAAAAGACTACTGCCTCAGTTTGGATATTACAGGAATATGAAAATGATCAAAAACAAAAAACCTTTGAGCTTGCTTTCCTGTTATCCAACAGCAGGTTTGTCGTTGATATGGGGTGTTTTTCTTTCTTTCTTTTTTTTTTACAGATGGATGGCTATATGTGTGTACGCTAGAGTCAAAACGTGATTAGAAAGTAAAATGAAATCATGTTTTCTAATGCAGAAACTGACAGGCAATATAATGTCTGGCTGTGTTTACAAATTAGCACCAGGGCTGCTGAGATAGAAGATTTTGCAATCGTTACCAAACACAGGCATTACCATTTAAAAAACTATTACTTCCTTCTCTAGTCTTTGTCCAACAATAATACTGATTCGAACATTTTCCATTCTGTCTTGGATTTATGCTCCTGTTAATTGTGCCTGATCGCAATGATTCCGGGTGGATGGTACTAAGTTGCTTTATTACAGGTTTTATTATACTCAATGCTCTCATTTGTAACTTGCCTAAAGTGCTTCTGGATTTAAGTATAATTAAATTGAGAAATGTGCAGAAATGACTACTGCTGCAGTTCTTGTGTTTTAACTATATGGGGAAATATGATCCCTTTATGCATGCACCCTAAACCCATAAAGTAAATGTAGTGTGGCATAATACTTTTATTTGTGTTACTTCTAGACCTTGTCTGTACAGGGAAGACTGTTAAGTTTAAAACCCCACCGAGATATTAATGATTAAATAATTTTCATCATAGATTTGATTTTCTTAAATATTTAGCAGTTATACTTATTAAAGGTTAACTGTTGCAGCAATGGGAAAAAAAATTGAAAACAACCTTCTTCTTGACCCAAATTCCTTTGAAAGAATTTTTTTTCTTAAAAGATGGGGGAGGGAGAGGGAAGAACAACAACTGGGTTTCCTTGTTTTTATTTAATCTTTTGGTTAATTTCTCCTACTGACCAATTTTGCCACAAAGAATGAGTACACAGGTGTTAAGAATTCACCTTGATATTTTTGCAAAGTAGAGCAATTCTAATGCACAGTAGTTCCAAAAGCTTGCAACATTATTTTGCAATTCAAATATTTTCAAAGAACAAGCAAGGAAAAGATTCAGAGTGCTTTGGAAAAGGGAACTAAAATGATCATAACTCCCAGTTCATTTTTAAATTGCTCTTTTATAAATTATTGCTCCTCTCATTTCACTTCCAAAAAAAGCACTGCTAAGTGTCAGTTTCTAAAAACATATATGAACACACACACACAGACACACAATGGTTACTAAATCTTACACTGGATCAAGTGCCTACTTTCCTGCTTTCCATGCAAGGGCTGCTAAACATAACCAACAAATTTCAGTGACTGACTGGGCCAAATGAGAGATGTAATAAATTTTCTATTTTCCTATGGAACTTAAATAATGTTTTAAATTCACCAAGCAAGCAGGTAAGTTCATCTGACCATTTTCCTTACAATCTAATGTAGTAATCATTAAACTGTCAACGGACATACTGCTGCAATATTTGATGCAGTAATTTGAAATAGCATTTTAGCAAAAATCACATCCAGATACATTTCCTCTCCAAAGAAAAGCAGCTTTAACAGAAACCTTTACAGCTTTAATAAAATTACTGGTTTGCTCTAATTCCATTTCAGGAAGGCTGTGAGGAAACCATAAATATGTAGAATTAAAGCAGAGGTACTGGTTGAAGTTTAATTTCAGAAAGTATTTTCAAATTATCAGTAGCCTGGTTTGCACTGTAAATAGTAAATGTGCTAATGCCATGCTTATTTAGAAATCATTTTAAACTGCATTTATTGATAACTGAATTAGAACTCAAATAATGTATTACCCAATAGTCTCAAAACATTTAATTTAATATGGGGTGTAGCAGGTTCTGATAGGCATTGGGAACCCAGCTAATGATTTATGAGGTCACCACTTAGCACCCCTAGGAAGAGAAGGCGGCTGCATTTTAAAGTCTCTTAGCTTGGATTTGCTACTGAGTTTTTCTTTAATCAGAATAGGGTGTACATATAACTTTTAGGTTTCACTAGTGCTTATAAAATCCGGTTAAAACCGATCTTCTTAGTATGTCTTTTACACTTCCTTTTACATTTTGAGAACATTTAATGAGCTCTTTTGGTTGCATTTAACATCATTCCCAGGACAGGGAGAAATCTCCAGGCCAGATTCAGCGGTAGAAGTAGATCTTTTAGCAATTGAGACAGTTTACTGTCGTCGAGAGGAAGATATTGTTAATGGTGACATTCGTCTGATTTATTTGTGTTGGTGGAAATGGTAATTCAGGCATTGTTTGAGGGAGCTCCAGGAACCATTGTTCTGGGGCAGAACTCGCAACTACTTTGTGTGGTTCCTCAAAACGTCCCCCCACCCCGCCCCCAAATAAAATGTTTTTAAAAGGAAATACTGGGGAGAACCCGGACCCACCGACTATGTTCCCGGTATCCTTTCCTGGGGGTAAGTGACTAGAGGGCTATGTTCCCTCCCGCGCGGCCTCTTACCGGGACCTCCTCGATGGCGTGAGGTAAGGAGTGGATCGAGAGGTCTCCGAGTCCTGAGCTGAGAGCGTGTGGGCCGTGCAGGAGGTCCTCGTGCCGCCTGTAGTCCCTGCGAGGATCCAGGCCCGACAGCTGGTGAGGCAGCCCGCGGTGCGTGTGCAGGAGCCCAGACTCCTGGCTCTGCCTCTGGCCGGGCCAGCCTGGGTGCTGCGGCTGCGGCTGGGCGTGCAGGGGGTTCAGGCTGTAGGGGTCGTTGACGTGGGAGTAAGGGTCTTGCGACTGGGGGTAGATAGGCTGGTAGGGTGGGGGAAAGTAGGGGGGCTGGAAGTCGGCATTGGGGGTGTGGGACAGCGGCGGGGCGCTCGTGTAGGGAGATTGACCTACAGTGCCCAGCTGGGGCAACCGTGCCGTCCCGTTGCTGGTGCCGTCGTGACGGTCCTAGAAGACAGCGAGAGGAAAGGTAAAGAACAAGGAATTAGGCGTCGAGCTACAACTATCCACACAAAATCCACTTGACAAGCCTGCGTGGGAAATCTCCTGTTCCCGTTGGCTGGCCGCCGGGAAAAAAAACAGCTCTAAGTTCTTTTCAGAAAATACCCCCGAAGTGAAACAGACCCTTCCAAAAACGCAGAGGAATTAGACATCATATGTAGGGGCACAAGAGACTCTCTTCAGGCGTTTCTTTCAAAGGGGGGAAAAGATAGAAAAGGGTCTCCTGAAACATAGCCTGTTAAGCTGCAGTATGAAACCGCTCTTAAGCAAAATTAAAATTTTTCCTAAATACTAAACAGCAGAAGCAGCCCTTTCCCCCCTCCCCCGATTTGAACCTGTCTGCCACCGCGTTATTGTTTATTCTCTTCCATTTATTTGGAGAGAAAAAAAATCATAAACGTTCAAACACTATTACCCTTTCATTACTATTTAAATAGAAACATATTTCGCAGAGGGGCTGTAACGAAAACACACGTTTAAATTACCAGCTTAAAGAAGGTTTTAACTGCAGGATCGGGGTCTGTCTTTTCCGCTTCCTCAGTTAGGAGTCTTTTTCTCGACAGAGTCGATTTTGGTTTGGATGGGGGAAAGGGGGGCGTCAAGGTTTAAAATAGAAAGATTCAGCCTTATTGGGTTTAAAAGAGAGAGGTGCACCCCGGGGCGGAGGCCCCCGCCCTTTCCACCCCAGCCCCAAAGGGCAAAAGAAACGCCTGACTTTTATGTTTCTCTATTACAACTCGCTTGCAAAACAAGCGAACAGAGTTGATTCCAGGGACTGCGAACCCTCGGCGGTTCAGCCGCAGGCCCCGAGGGTAGGGGTACACCGGGCTGCACTTTTCCTGCAGACAGATTAACCACCGAATGTTGAGAACATCTCGGGAACAAGTGAAGACGCAAGAAAATCAAGATGAACGTGGGGAGAAACACGCCTTGGGAAGCCGAGGCTAGGTAGGTCTGCGTGCGCCGAGAGGTCTAGCGGGGGCTGGGGTGGGGGGCAATGCATTGGATTTAGGGATCAAAAAGAGCGAGAGAAAGGCGGAAGGTGGGGTGGGAGATGCAAATGGAGGGGGTGTCCTGAAGGAAAGCTGGGCGTGAAAACCCGAGGTTTCGGGCAGTTCCACAGCACCAGGCTTCCAGAATCCAATTCCTAAAGAAACAGGAACGGGGGTGGGGGTGGGACTCACCATAGCTGAAAAACTGTGAACTAACATCTGCGAAGAGTCTGGGGTAACGAGTCAGGGTGGAAAAAAACAAGCAAGCCTGGAGCGCCCGGCTGCCCGCCGCCCGAGCGCGCGCCACACAAAAGGCGCCGAGAGCCCCGCGCCACCCAGGACTCCAGTCACGGCGCCGACGCTCCCCCGAGCGCGGGAGCCCCGCTCGGATCCATCCGAACTTGAACCACCGATTCGCGCGGCGCCTTCAGCTGGTCGAACCCACGGTCTCTATCCTGCCGCGACTGGTTATGATTCAAAGTTCTTTAAAAATGAAAAACCCCAAAAAAGGAAAAAGGAAAAAGTATGTGTGAGTGTGTGGGTGCGTGCGTGTTCCTTAATCCGTGTCTCCCCCTCTTTTCTTAGCGGCGGCTTCGCTTGAGCTTCTAATAACCGCGCTGGGCAGCGTTCCTGGAGCCTCCTAATAGCAGATATTCATGACTATTAATATTACAAGAATACTTAATAAGGGAAGAATGCCTGGAAATCGAGCGTGAAGCGGAGAGGCAACTCGCGCCGGAGCCGGCTCTCAATGCAGTCCATTGACGGGAGTCTCAGTGTAGCAAATCGGAGTGGGGAGAGGGAGCGCGAGAGACAAAAAGCGGGCGAGAGAGGGAGCGGGCGAGCGCGCGGGGGGCCGCGGCGCGGCGTCTGGCGAATCACAGGGAAGGGGCAACATTTTAAAAGGTTGCAGGGCATGCAAAAGTGAAAGAGAAAGAGGCAGAGAGGGAGACCGAAGGAGAGAGCGCAGAGAGGGAGAATGTGTCTGCGTGCATGTGTGAGAAAGAAAGTGTGGGCGAGGGAGAGGAGCCCGGAGTGGGGAGAGGGGAGGGAGGGAAGGAGGGAGAGCCCGAGAGGAGGAAGGGAGGGAAAGAGGGAGGGAGAAAGGGAGGGAGGAAGGGAGGGAGAGAGGCAGGGGGGAGGGGGCCCAGCCCGAGCGCACGGAGGGGGAGGCCGCGGGGGAGGGGGAAGGGGAGAGGAAGCGAGCGAGGACAATCAGACCTAAAAGGCTGGGGCAGACCTCGGGATGTAGCGGGGGTCGTGCAGAGCGGGCAGGAGCTGCTGGGGACCGCGTCCGGGCGCTCGTGGGGCTCTCGGCGCGGCAGGCGTTTCCCGGCCCTCCCTGGCCGCGGGGTCCTCGGCTCAGCAGCCGAGCGTGAGACTCAGGACTCGGCTGCCGGCTGCCGCGCGGTTCCTCCATGACCCGGCGCCCCTCCGGGGACCGGCCCGCTCGCGGCGCTGGCCCTCTCCTTAGCCTCCTCCTGAGCTTCGCTCGCACAGGGGCGCCGCGCGCTCCCCGGCCACCGTCGCTCTGCCCTCGGCTCTCTGGGGCCGGGGATTCCGGACCGGGAGCCGGGATGCGGGCCGGGGCGCGCACAGACGCGAGGCGGCCCAGCCCGGGCGCCGCTGGCACGGGCTCGCAGCTCCCGGCAAAAACCCGTTCGACTGGCTGGGCCACTCCCGCCCGACGCCCCCCCAGATGACACGGCCAGCTCTCCCGGCGTGCTGCCTCTGCCAGTCTACCCGCCAGGTTGTCAGAACAAGCGGCACCTCGCCTCCTGCGTGTCCCTACAGAGCCCCGGCACAATCAGACTGCCCCAAGCCAGCTCCGAAACCCGAAATCCCCGCTCCGGCGCTTGCCCGCCGCCGCCAAAGTTGTAGAAACAGCTTTGACTTTATTCTCCTCTCTCTCCTTTCTTCTTTCTTTCTTTTTTTTTTTTTTTTTTGGCCTCAATCACACACGCATTCACACTTGCCCCCACAGGATCCCTCTAGGGTGCAAGTACATCCCCCGCCTAGCCACCCACCCCATCCAGTCGGCACCTAGAGCTGCGCGGAGGTTCGGACCCCGCCCGCCGAGGGCGCCCACACCTGGAGCTGGGTTTCGGCCTCTGCGAAAGTGAAATGCCCCAGCCTCCGGCCAAAGCCCAGACCAGGACTGTATGAATTGTCCTATGAGACTGAGGTGCTCAGTTTCATTCCGACCGGCCTGCAAAGCTCGCCCCCAGCCTCGAAAACAAAGCCACTGGTCTGACATGGGATCCCTGCGTCCCTCCCCCAGCGCGACAGGACCCCCCCAGAGAAGGGCCGGTACCCTTGGGATGTCACCCCGTGCCCCATCTACCGGGGTGGGGGGCCTGAAAGGAGAAAGATTTAAAATAGTCTTCAGAAAGAAAAGAGAGGAGGGAGCGGGTGACACATCGTTCGCATAAACCCAATTTTTGGTTTCGAGCGAAGTCAAGACCTCCGCCTCTGAGCCTGCACACAGACCTGCTTAACATTCTCAGCTTCGAATGCCAAAAAAGAAGTAAAACCAGCAAAAGTTGGGACTGCCACCTATTTAAGTAATCTTCAGCCCTGCACTCCCCAACCCCTCTCTTGGACTCCTTGCTCATTTCACTGAAGGTTGTAACCGTTCCCAGCGCCTCCTGCGGGTGGACCGGTCGCGCTAGGGCCTCCTTGCTGCCTCAAGAAGGCGAGCTCGGGGGACTCTGGGTTTTAAAATGGGTTCCAAAGCGGCGCGCTCTGTCGGCCCAGCGGGCTCGCGGCACCAGAGGTGTACGCAGCCGCTCAAGGATTCCCACGGTCGTTCTCTGCTGCTGCTGAAGCTGGCGCTCCGGCACCCAGCGGCCAGCAGACTCCGTGTAGCACCTTTCCCACCCCACCCCCACGCGCCCCGGTGGGGTGCGTCGATCCTGTAGCTCAGAGGGAGAAGCTACTTAGAACTTCTTGAAGCACAGAGGCTCTGGGGCGAGCCCCGCAGCTGGGATGAGTGTTCTCAAGTTGAACCCGCTTACAGGAAGATGCAGCCCTTCTCACAACGAAGTGCAGGGGCCCTTCTCCAAAGCCCAGAAGAGTATCGCTTTAGAATGGGGGGTGAGGGGAAGAGAGGAAAAAAGGAAAGAATGAATGAATGAATGAATAGAAGAAAGAATATTAAATATCGGAGAGGAAGTTGAAGAGGGAAAAGAGTTTTCTCTTTCTGTTCCTCATGACTTGGGCCCTCAGAATCTCGATGAAGATACACGAGGAGTGCACAGGCGCGTGCCCATTTGCCAGCGACCGCTTCAAAAGCCCATGTTCTTCTCTTCGCCCCACTCTTAGGCACAGCCAAAATTGGTCAGAAAGGGAAGTAAAGTGGAACACGGGCTTCAAAGTAGGGAAACCAAAGAAGGGAGCATCCACGACCTCCCTCTCCAGCTTCTCCCCCGCGTTCTTCGGACGAATCTGAGGGGCGGGCGCTGCGCTGGGGAAAGTTTGTCCCACCCGCGTTTCGCAGCTGGTTGCAAGGAGAGGAGGAGGAGAGGGAGGGTCGAGCTCCGAGCCTGTGGCCGCATGGATGATCAAGCTGGCGTCGCGCTTACCTCGCAGTCCTCGTACTTGATATTATCCGTCAATTTCCAAAGCATTTTCATGGATCGGCTTGAATGGATTTGCCCCTCTCCGTCTCGCACCCAAGTGGAGCTACTCTCTGGGTAAGCGCAAAGTGCTGGCTGCCGGCGGTGAGCACAGGAGGAGGAGGAGGGCGAGGAGGAGGGAGAGGAGGTGGAGGAGGAGGAGGAGGGCGAGGAGGAAGAGGAGGGCGAGGAGGAGGAGGGCGAGGAGAAGGGCGAGGAGGAGGAGAGACGGGAAGGAGCTCCCGTGTGCGCTCGGAGATCTCCCTCTAATGGTAGAAACTTTTCCCTTTTCCAGCTCTTTACCAACAGCCTAATCGCCTCATTAGCATATCAACAATAGTCCAATTGCTCGCCAGTACCGCAATCTGCCGCCGGCCGCTCCGACCCAGGTATAAAGGCCTGTCTACACCGCGAACTTGCTTCTAGAGCTCACTCCTGCCTGCGAACTGATGAAACCATCTTGAGCTCCGCTGCGCGCCCCTGCCCCAACGCCCCCTCTCTTACCCCAGTTCCGCCCCATTCCCTTTCCTTTCTTTCTCCGCTTCCTTTTCTCCAGAGATGCCCTGTGCTAAGCCCGGCACAGCTCCAGGTCCGAGCCGCCACGCCTGGGGCCCGGCTTTTTGCACTTCTCCCTTAACTCTGCTACTACGATCCGAGCTGCCCTTTTGGCCCCGTGCAATTTTATTAGAAATCATTATCCCTTTCGCAATTAAACATAACCACCAAACCAAGACCGGCGAAGTCACTCCAGGGTTTTTGCCCAACTAGGGATCGCCTCCGCTCGCAGCAGCCACCCCCTCGGGCCGCAGCGCCCTGGGAGTTTTATTGGCTTTGAGCTTTCCCCCAGGTTGGAGATTCTGCCAAGCGGCTCCAGTGGCTCTGCTGGGGTTTGCGATCCCTTAATTGCGGCATGTAAAATAAAAGTTGTACCCTGAAGAGGTTACTTGACAGCTCCAGGGGTTAAATAATTTTCCTCCCGTCTATGTGAAGCTAGGGCCAACTGACAGTTCAACTTGGTGTTCAGGCTAAGGTTTCTTAGGTGCGACGTGGACACGAATACAGAACTCCTATGGAGCTGCACACCCGCTTCTGAAGTTGAGCCGAAATAGACATGTGTGCGCCTGCAAGCCTAGATACCGTCTCATGCATGCATCAAAATAAATCACCAGGAACAGACTCTTCGCTGTGTTAATCTGCTCCAGTTTTCCCAAGATTCCCCTTTTTAATTAAAGCAGGGAGAGTTCCTTCATGATTTGGTGATGCTACTAACGCGGGCGTGCTCGCCAGGCAAAGCCCGGCTGACGCGGAACCTGGAGGCCTGGAAAGCCACCTCCTTGTCCAGATGGGTCAGTCCGGGCTTTTGGACTTTTCATCTGGGCCTGCTGGCTCCGCTGGGGCTTTTTTTATCCGTTTCCTTTTCGGGATTTTTTTTTTTTAAGTAAGAAAAAAATAATAATAAAGGACCTAATGTGACACTATGAAATACAGAGTAATTAATTTTCCTGGCTGAGCTTCCTCATTTGTCCTCCAAAAGAAAGTTACCTCAGTCTTTTCTCTCTGCGATATGCGCAAACTCCGTAACTACACTAGGTCCCGCCCCAGAGTTACTCTAGTAAGGACCTTTGATTCATCTGGGATTGTTTCTCAAAAATCTCCAAGTCGCCCAGATTTCCACCTGGCTTACCTAAAAAAGGATGGAAGCTGTGGCAGATCGGAGCATTCCTTCACAGGTGTAAGGAAGGCAGGAGCAGGGAGAACTCCCCCCTCCACCCAAAGCTGCAGAAGGGGAAGTCTCCCTCCAAAGACGCCAGCAAACTCCCCAAACCTAGCAGAGTAGGCGGAAGGCCCCAAAAAGCTAGGGAGAAGCCAGAGCTGGCAGGGGACCTCAGAGCCCCAGGGAGCCCTCCCCATGCCCTGGGCCTCCCTTGCCCCACCTGAACTGAGCACAATCCCTGGGCTGAACCGGCCTTGAGGCTTGGCGCCGCCCTCCGTCCAGAAAATGGTCGACTTTCCAGGGCTAGACCCTGCGGGGCTGTCCCGGCCTGTCGCCAGTGCAGTGGCTTGAAGTCAGGATCTGGGCTGCCAGGAGCAACAACACCCTCCCAGCAGCGGCCACAGCCTGAGTAGGCCAAATCCTAGGCCTGGGAGCACGGGTTTTTACACTCCGCAGACGTCGCCACAGTGTGCTTAAGGGAACTCCAAGTTTCGCTTTCTTTCCTTGTTTGCCGGCTTGTGAAGACTCCCCTCCATCCTCTGCAACCCCGTTTCAATCCTTCTTCCCAATTCCCCACTTCCCCGCGCCCCGCAGATCTTCGGCTCCGCACCCGCCAGGGCTGCTAAACTGTTTTTGTAATCCCGCCGAGGGCGCCATTGAGGTGCAGATTGGGACCTGCTGGCTCTGGGCTGCCGCCCCTGGTGTCGGTGTAGGCGCTGATGAAAGGCCGGGACGAGCGCGGGTACGACCCCGGAGCCAGCCGAGCTGCATTCGTGCCAGCGTCATTACCACGCTAAGTCGCTTCATTGCATGTCAATGCTCTGGCAGGGCCAGAACCCCGGGACAGCAGCGCCAGGCCTGGGGTTGGGGGTCGAAGATCCAGGCCTGACTTGGTGGACATTAAAAGGGCCTGGGGTGGGGGTGAAGGGGGAATATTTGTGTGACAGACAGAGTCACAGAGAAAGAGACAGTGAGGGGCCAGAATGACTATTTTCCCTGATTGTCAATGCCCAGCGGGAGCCGGGAGCCCAACAGGCCCAGCACAGCAGATTCGGCCCCTCCGGGCCCCAAATGCGCTGGCCCCACCCGAGATCCAGGCCTCCAGCCACTTGCCTAACTATGAGCCCGCAGGAGTCAGGCCGGCGGCTCCCTCTTCCTCCTCCTGCGGCGTCTCTCGGCTTCTAAACCTCAGTGAACCCACAGGAGGCCCAGTCCCGGCCCGAACCTACTCAACAGGCACCTTCTCAGGCCTAGGAATTCTGCAGCGAAGTTCACTGGGATTTGAGGACAAAACCCAAAGACTGCTATCAAAAGACTCCCCGTCTTCAGCCTCGAAAGAAGAGGGGTAGGAAGGGCCTTTAGCCCACAAGGGCGGGGAGGGCAAGGTGTGGGTTCCTGGGGATTTGTGTCTGGTATGGGATTTGCATCCTTAAACCACAAGATTCACCTAACCTTGGGGATGAAATAGCATTTAGTGAGGCTTAGCTAGGGGGAAGAATATAAAACAGCTCACTCTTGATTAATAAGTACAAGGGGGAAAAGTACAGAATGCAAAAGGCCTTTCTTCCTCCAACTCCAGGTAGCTTAGTGAGAACTGCACTTCTCAGAACTTTACTTTTAATGGCCTAAATCTGAAACAAGAGAAGAGCTCGCCCAGGAGTAGCAAGGCTTCGATTTGGTTGGGGTGGAGTGGGGAGTTTAGGGCATTAGATTCGAATTGTCCCCCGGGGTTTTGGGCACACAGAATCTCCCCCTAACCAGGTCTCCCTTGGTTGGGGCGAAAACAGGGCCTCGCGGTTTTGATGATGAAATCGGTTAGAGGCAGAGCCTTTTACCTCCACCAACCTGGCCAAAGCCGCAGTTTCCCAAAGAGAAAACGTCTGGAAGTTGGAAGGAGAGCACTGGACAAATGCTTCCTTGGCCGGGGTCGGAATCCGGGACTCAGGAAGGACAAGAGCAAGCCTTGGACGCCTTGTGTTGCCCGCGGCCTAGCAGAGCCAAGTTCCGCAGGCGTTGTTTTTGGCAAATTCGCGACCTCCTGCCTCGTCACCCCCCATTCACACACTCCTTCATCCGTACCCCAGGCAGCAAAAACCCATTTCAGGGAGCGGAGTGAGTTGGTAGCTAAACTTTGGGCAAACTCTTTTAAGTGTCTCCCAAAGAAACACTCTGCCGCCGCGACCCGGCCATCCGGACCCCTTTCTATTCGCCACACATCCTAGATCCCCCGAAACCTGGGAGTACCAGGACAGGTGCACCAGGATCTGTCCCATACTCAACCCCGGGGTCTACCGCGAGCCCGAAGGCGCGGCAGGCTGGGAACGTACACTGCCGCGCGCAGCAACCCCAGGCCTGCGCCCTACCCCCTTCCGAATTAGTCATCCTCCCAAGTTTCTGCTTGAGTAGGGAGGCGGGTGGGGGAAATGGCCACGGCACAAACCACAAGTGACCCACCGGGCCACCTGTGGAGCGTGCGCCGGACTTTCCCCGGCACGGGGCCCCGCGGGAGGCGCGCCTTGCCCCCAGCGCCGCGGTCGCCGCCTGCTTTTCCTGTCTTTGCTGTCTCCTGGGAGCTCTCTTGGGCGCTGCCAGAAGCGCCTCACCTACGACTCCCCTGCCCTGGGCCACGGCGCTTCCTCTCCTCCTCCCCGCTCCGGCCCCCTCCCCTACTCCACCCCCGCCCACCTCAACCCCAGCCAAGGCAAAGCCCCCGTACCTGCCAGTCCCCCATTTTGGCAAGTATGGACATCGCGGCTTGGCGCTCCTGGCGACTGGTCCCCGCCGGGCATGGGCTGTAGGGCTCGGCCGGGCCCGCTCCCTGGAATCGCTTAGGCAAATCCTCCTTTTTTACCTGCTCACCAACATCTCACCTGGTCATAAAGAGCTGGGTTGCTACCTGCCGACGCATGCGCGCTGGCCCAGGAATTCACTCCGCCAGCTGCAGTCCCAGCGCCTCACCGAGCTGACCTGGGAAGTGATGGATTTATAGCCGCGGCAATCTTGCCATCAGCTCCAGCTTTTCCCAACAGCCCCAACCCGCTTTCCCAGTCAGTCCCTGGCCCGGGAACCGAAGTGGACTGACTGCTGGAGTGTGCTGGGTGCGATGCGGGTTTGAGTGTGTGTGCTCTCGCACTCCAGTGGTGGGTGCTTCGACAGCCTCGACCCATGGCTCCCCTCCCCTCGGAACTTTTGAGCTGGAGGAGTCTCCACTCCCGGGTAGGGGTCAGGGGTTGGGAAACGACAAGACCAGTAGAAGAGACCTGATGATCCCCGCGCACCTGGACAGAGTGGGGATGGGTCGCCGTCCCCGCCTCCCCACCCGCCTACGAGGCGCAGGGCGCGGCTGGCCTTAGCGGATCCGACTCTGTCACCCCCCAGGGCCACTTCAGCGTTAGATTCCACATGAAAGCGTTGCTCAATAGGTGAAGACGTTCCTGATTCTGTGTCACTTCTGGCTTCTAGGTTTGGTCTCCTCCCACCCTAGACAGAGAAGAGAAACTGTACACACACATACACACTCTGTCTCTTACACACTCACACTTAGCACTTCTGTACAGAGGTCCACCCCTTCTTCCCACGTTCACAGTTCTCCGCCCCTCCCCCACTCCTCTATGGTTTCCAGAGCTTTATCTTCCCATTTAGAACTTTTTAAAGGAAGAATTGGGGGCGTTGGTGGCTCTGGGATGGGCAACTGAAGTTTGGTTTAGGGTTTGCTTTCCCATGACAGATAAAATCACTCAAGTGATTTCACCGCTGCTTCTAATTAGAGGGGAGCCTTAAAAGAAGCCACAGGATTTGGGGCTCCCGGAGCTCACCTCCGTCAGGAGCCACACCTGGCCGGGAGGGAGGTGACGGTGAGGAGACTGGCCTCGGGCCACTTTCTCGCAGGGAGGGTGCCAGTCCCATTCCCGCGGCAAGGATATCGAATTGTCCTGGGTTTGGGCCTGGGGCGCCTGGGGCAGGCCCAGTTACCCTCCCTGCCTGCTGTCGCAGAGACTTAGAGACGAACAAAGAACCAATTTTAAGTCGTCTTCTCTAACACGTCAGGCAAATATGTGTAAAAGGTCGGCTCCACGCTGTGGAGCAGAGACTTGTCCCCCAGGCACCAAAACCTCCCCCATTCTAACCGTGCTCTCGAGCCTCCGACCCAGGGCCCTGTCCAGGAGGCTTTGCACCCTCTCGGTGTTCCCAGGGGTGGGGTAGCGGTGCCTCTCCCTGGAGTCCCCTCATCGCTTCCGCATTTTATTCATCCCTGGACTAAAGGACTCTCAGCCCAGTGCCCAACCTAGTTGATTTAAAACTTTCTTGAACCTGCCTTAGAATCTTGCTCAAGTCTGGGAGTTTCTGTGGGTAGTTTTTTTGTTTTGTTTTGTTTTGGTGAAAATGTAAATAAATTAGTCATCAGTACATTTTCCCTGCTTTTTCCAGACGGTGGAAATAGAGTGGTGACTAACTTTTCAGAGTGGAAGACGCGCGAAGGGAGCACCTGCTGCTCTCCGGGATGGAGACGAGGGTCGCTGTGCTCTCTTAAGAGTGAGCGGAGGTTTCAGCTCGCGACCGCTTCCTCTAGCCCGCGCGGGGGAAACCCTGGCTGGAGGCGACCTCAGGCCCCGCGGGACAGGCCCGACCAAGCCTAGGAAGGACGGGCGGGCGCGTTCCAGGGCCAGGGTGGGGCGTGGGGTGCGCCGTCTCCACCCCAGGTACTTTTGGGGTGGGGGACCCGAGCGTGCGGAAAGCGGGAGGCAGAGCTGAGAGCTGGGTTAAGTGCGAAGCTAAGGCGCCACATAGGGTTGGGTGACAGTGGACGGGGTGAACTGGAAGTGAAGCAGCCCAGGCCTTAGCAGAGAGGACCCTCGGAATCTATGCACGTCCTAGGGGGAGGACGACGTGGGAGAGAGGTGGAATGCTGGAGCTAGAATTTAGCTTTGCAGTGAGATCACTTGGGATCCACATTCAACTCTGGTATCTACATGTACTGGCTGTGTGATCCCGAGGAAGTTACTGACCTTGTCTGACCCCTGTTTCCTGGTTTGTAAAGTGGACAATTGGTGGGAATTCAATAGGGGAATGTGCGCAAAAGCCTTAGCACAGCGCCGGGCCAGCAATATGCGCTCAAGAAAGGCTGCGGAGCCTTGTCCAGGACGGTCTACACTGCCCGGTCCAAGAAGAGTTCACAGCGCCCAAGACCTGTTCTATTCAAGATGATGTAAACCCCACTGCCCCTTCTTAGACACACCGCAGCCCAGCCGGGAACTGGTCATCTGCACCTCCTGCGATTTCCTCCTCAGAACCCCAGTCCTGCCAGATCTTCGTCCTCCCTTCGCTCCTCAAACACCTGCTGCACCGCTCAGAGCCTTTCCCCACCCGGACCTCCTCCGCAGCTCCGCAGCAGCAAGACAGCGCCACCTCCGGGGGTGCCACGATTGGTGGGGAGGGGAAATGCCTCCCAGCCTCCTCAGCTCTCCAGGTTCCTGGCAGCCAGTCTGGTTAGCCAGCTGCGCCCAGTGCGGGCAGACCCAAGGCCACTAACTGCACTTGGCCACCCACCTCCGCACCCCAAATGTCTCGGGAGGTGCGGGCTCTGGGATCCTTTGAATCAGAGATCCGCGGATCCCCTCTCCTCCCCCTGGGATGGGAGAGGGAGAGCCGCGGGAGTTCCCCAGCCACTCCTGGCGCTGCCACCACGAAGCAGGTTCGTAGCTAACAGGCCTGGGACACTGGGCCGTATCGCAAACTTTTCTGTGCGCCATTCAGTGCGGGAAGCCTGAGCTTCGGGGAGGGGTGGGATGGCATAGTATCGAGTTTAGCGGAGCTCCCAGCTTCAGGTAATGCTGAGCTCAGGCTCTCTGAGGCCTGTGGTGTCAGAAATGCCGGTGGAACGCATCCTCCTCCCAGCGCCATCAACGCCAAAGTTGCTGAGGGAATAATCACTGCCTTAGGGTTAAATCCTGCTTGAGCCACGTTTTCACTCCACCTCTTCACTTACCATCAAGCACTATACCCCTGGCGATTTTGCCCAACGTTTCTTAAAGGAACTTGGATATCTGGACCCCAGTCTGAGCAATGAGTTCACTGGGGTGATGACCTCAGCTTCACTCTCCCCCTGGGGAGCTGAAGATCCCTGGGCAGGTTGAGTGGCCTCTTGCTGCCGGTCTGGTCTCTCCTCTTCCCCCATCTCCTATAGTGGCTGGTCTTCCCTGCCCTTGGCGGAGCAAACCTAACTCAAACTCTAGTTCCTTCCTGGTCCCCCTTGGAGTAGTAAACTGGCCCTCAGGGTCAGGGCCAGGAAGAAGGAAAGTTGGGCTACTCAAAGGAGAAGGTGAGGGAAGTCGAGTGGCATTTTCCCACCCTGGGATTTCGGGTCTTCAATCAGACCGATTCCTCGATGGCACAGAAGCCCTCTTGACTCTCCAATTGGATTAGACCAGAGGAATTACCAGTAGAATTACCAGCAACCACAGGAAAAGAAAATGAGCCAAATCCCTTAGCAAAGGCGTCCAGGGAGAAGGTGAAGAAGGGAGGGTGTACATTAGGGGTGTCCCACTGTGGCTCACCAGAATGCACGCTTTCAATTGACAGCGATGGGTACAGGCCGGAGGTGTGCAGCAAGCGGGGAAGCCCAGAGGCCCAGAACATAAGAACGCCCTGGAGGCTGGAGGAGCGCGTCACTGGTCAGTGCGCCCACTCCAGGAGCGACCTCCCGGCCCTCTAGGCCCTAGGTGACAGGTGCAGCAGCCGTCTCGGCTGCCCGCTGTGCCAGGGCGGCTGCTGAGCACTGGTGCGGAACCACTATCGGAACGGGTTTGCGCTTCTGTTTACAAAGCAATCCTGCCATCAAAAGAGGAACAAAATCACCACTTATCACACCCTGTCATAAAGTAATCTGCCCCGAGGGAAACCCTAGCAGAGAACCGCAGCAGAGTGTGGGGTGGGGGGGCAGGGGACCGGGGAGGGATGGAGGAAAGGGGAACTCTCCCAACTTTTATGCAGAATAAATCGCGGGGACGCGTCTTGTCCAGACTGGCCCGGAAAGACATAGGGAACCTTGAGCTGCAGAGCCGGGGTGTGACCAGGATCCCCGTCCAGGGCTGGGCCTGGGGCTGGAAGAGTGTAGATTGGCTCTCTTGTATCTATGGAATGGGCACATCTGCAGCCCCCTCTCCAATGTTTGCTTTCCTAGCGTCTTTGAAGATGCTCCCAAAGGCCCCCAAATAGATCAGCAGAAAGCGTTGAGGGTGGGGGGAGTAAAAAAGCGAGTTCTTGAAGACTGTAAGGTCCCTTTTCTCGTCCTCAGCAACTGGAGTACGCAGGGAATTCTTGACCAGTGGAGGAGGCTTTTGCTCCCTCCAATCCCTGGTCCCCCCTTCCCATGTTATGCACTTGTTCTTGGAGAGATGGAGGTTAAGGAAGCATGAGGCAGTTCTCACTGCAAATAAATGGTGCAGAAATAAGAGAGAGAGAATGAAATCCTAGGAAGTTATAAGTAATCCCTGACCCAACGCAGCCACCCAGGGTTATCTCCTTCCAGGTTCTGCCTTGTCTAGAGTGAGGTGATAAACGCTTTAGGGATCCAAACCCAAGCACAGCTGGGTGCCTGGTGGGGGCGGGAGGTCTTGGGGGGGGGGTTCTATGTGGTGCCTCTGCCTCTGGAGTTGCCTTTAGGAAAGGTCAAGAGAATTATCCTCCCCTCCATATCCGCTGAAAAGGGGCTATTTTGCTAGTCTTGGTATCAGTAATTCACCACTTAATATAACCAGGTTTTCAGTTTGTACATGAACGATCCTGGACATCCAATACTGCCCCCACCCCCTCACCTCCGTTCCCCAGTGCCACTCCTGGACACTCTAGACACCAGCGAGGCTTCTTCTGTAGCCAGTCTTAACGTAGCAGATGCATTTTGGAGGAGTCTGGATGCTTGGGGGAATCTGGATGAAAGTGCATGTGATCCAGCCTGAATCTGAGACTCTGAGTTTCCTTAACACGAGCTCGAAAAGTCTGCAATCACTAGCCCTGAGAGATTACTTTGGTTCCTAATGGAATATCCTGAGTCAGGGTGGCTGAAAGAGCTTGTACATGGCAGGCAGAATTCTCAATGCTAAGTTATCATTTGCACTAATTGAAGGCCTGGGGGAGCTGGCTTCATCTTTCATAATTCCTGCATGGCTGATGCCACTGGAGAGTCAATGTTTTGCTGTGTCACTTTGAAAAACAAAACACCTGTAAGGTGAAGGATTCTACTTTTCGATGACTAGGGAGCTAGATCCAGAGCTGGCACAATTGCCAAGAGCTAAGTGGGAGCAGGTCCCTGCTCCTTCTTCAAAAAACCTTTCCTGGGGGTAATGGATGTCTTAGGGCAGTGGCTTTCAAACTTGACTGCATATTAGAATCAGCTGGAGGGTTGTAAGTCCCGATGCCTGAGTGGGTCAACACCACAAAGAAATCAGAGTATCTGGAAGTAAAACCCAAATTTGGGAGCTATGTAGGAAAAGTGTGCCTCCATCTGTAGCAGAGTTTTGGGATTCACTTTCTAAACTGCAGCCACTCCTCATCTTTGGCCTTGTGAAAAATTTCAGACCCCGGCTTTATCTGTCCCTCCTTTGAAAAACAGGGCATGTCTCAGTCCTAAGTATGGCAAAACTAAACCTCTCAAACTGCTCTGCGTTCTAATTAGCCAACTTAAGAACAAGTCGAACAGCACTGCTAAGCAAGAGCCTACAAACTCGGCGTTTCCCGATATCTCTCGGCTGCGTTCCCGGTTTTCGTGGGACACTGCTTTACAAGCACAGCATAGGGTGCCTTTACGTCTAAGAAATCGCGACAGCCTCTAGGTTAGAATAAAGTTTACTTGGGACCGGGCATAACTTTACTCCACCTTTGGGCTTCTTTTTCTCCAGTTTCCCCTCTTCTGCCTTTTCTTTCCCGTCTTCCCAACTCCTCACGCGCTACCTTGGAGTCTCCGTCTGGCTCGATAAGTCTATGCGCCTGGGCCTTGTTCCTTGAATCTAAAGTCCGGAAAGCCAGGAATCCTCGATCATAGACTTCTTCCCGCTAAATTAGAGGGAGTGAAATTTCGCTCTCCTCTCCATCCTACTTCTCCATCCCTAAACTCGCTAAGTTCGCTGATCAGGTGCGCACCCAATGGCAGAGCGCCCTCTACAATATCCTCTCCACCAGAGATGTAAGCGGCCTACATTTGTACCTAAAGGTCCCTGAGTCGCTGGGTGGAGAGGCTCGGATGCGCTTTCCTGGAGCGGGCCTCGGGGACCTGCAGCAACCCCAGCCTTAGGCACCACCGCCAGGCGAGCACGCCTTGTGCTCCGAGATCCGCGCGCAGCTGGCGGCCTCGGCCGCTGACCCTCTGGCTACTAAGTCTACCCGAGGATGTGTGCCCCGCGGCTCGGCCTTGCCTCAGGTGAGGAGGCTGATCACCATTCAGGGTCCAAGTGTCACGGCCTGGAAATGGCAATATCTGAGCAAACAGGTGGGCGTCGCTTCCCGGCGGTGCGCTGGCCGCTGGCTCGCAGCGCGCTCCAGCTTCCGGCCCCACCGCCGCCACTTTGCTCTGCGGACCGGGCCAGCTCCCAGGTGGCACAGCCGGGTGGCTCGGAGGCCGGCCCCTCGGGCTGCGGCGGGAGGCGGGGACGGCCGTGCCGAGGGTAGGGCGCCCCCGCTGGGCTGGTGGTTCCCGCTGCAATCGGGCCTCTGCCTGGAGGGCGCTCTGGCGCCAAACCCGGGCGGGCTGGGGGGTGGGGAGCCGATTGGGCTTATTCCCATTCAGAATTTAGAGGCTGGTGGAGACAGAGAGTCTCCTAAATGGATGCCAGTCTCCTGAAAGTCTGGGACGGAAGTCTGAAAACCTTCTGCCTTGCAAAGCCCCGGCAGTCGCCGGGCTCGGTCCTGGTTCCCTTGGTGCCGGCCCTGAGGGGTCCTCCCGGTGTTCCCGCTGCCTGGAGGGGCCCAGGGTCGCGGACAGACTCGGACAAGGCTCCGTTTACTTTCAGTTTGTCTAAGTTGAGTAATGGCGGGACTGGTTGTGATGCGTGCTCTGAGATTTTCTCCAGGATTTGTCACTTTAATTTTGCCAGACGAGGTAAGGCTGTGTTTTTTTAAAGTGAAGACACTCTCTTAAGCCTCTCCTGCCTTCCCAAAGGAAGCACATCCTTTCCACGTGTGCTCGACGGGACCTGTAGACTCCAGACTCCAGTGCTTTTTCTCCAAACCACACACTTCGATTGCTGTTAAAACTTGCCAGATTTCCATGTTTTAATCTCTGGTAATGTCTTAATAGTGAAGCCTCACTACTTTTACACGTATTGCTGCAAGGCTATCCAGCAAAAGAGATGTGCCCATCAGTCGTCTGAGGCTCTGCAAGGTTACTTGTGAAGGATCTCAAAATGACAATCAAGCTACCTCTGGATTTCCAATCACATGCTCAAAACTCACAGATTCTCCGTCTGGAGAGGTTTGGTTTTGTTTTGCTTTTGGTTTGTTTTGTTTTAAAAGCTCATTCCTCCCCCCTCTCAATAAAACAGTACTTAATTTTTTTATTAAATTGTTCCAGGCTCTGGAACCCTGGGGAGGCCCTGTTCAAATGACACTTTTTTGTGTATTTATGTCAACATAGTAAGTTGCATTAGAAATTTATGTTGACAATTTAACAAGGCCTGATCAGGTATATGAGGTGTTTTTTTTTTTTTTTTTTTTTTTTTTTTTTTTTTTTAAATAATGGACATAGCACATATGACTTCATTTATTTTCAAACTCAAAATGTGCTCTTTCTGAATCTTATGATGTAAATTGTACAGTCTTTATGATTAATTTTAGCTGTGGTATTGTGACTGTAAGAATTGTATGATTTTCCTTTGAAATGTAGTGCTGAGAAGAATAAAAATGAAAATTTCTCTCTGGAAGTAGTTGGAAACAAATGCCAAAACCTGACAATTTACACACAGTTCCCTTTCTGACTTGACTCACCACTTTGAGAATTATTTTTTAAAATACCAAAGTTATAGGATACTAAGTTAATTGTGGTCTTTCTAATTCTGAAAAACTGGTTTTCATTTGCCTCAAGAACTTTTAAAGGCAAAGTTGTCTACGATACTTCCTTGAACAAAGACTCAGACAAAAGCATTTGACTGCTTTTAATTTCTTAGCATTTTTACATTTTAAAATATAGCTCGAATGAAACTCAAGTGTACTAAATAAAGAATAAATACTTAAAAATGGTTTAAATACACATTTTCTCCTTTCATTATTGGAGCATTCAAGCAAAGATTGTGTAAAATTCAGATTAAGTAAAATGTAAAAAATACATATCCAGTTTACATTACATACTCTTGTTGTGTTCAGATATTTATACCAAAAAAAACCCAAAAAACCCTAGGATATTTACATCTTTAACATCTTTTTTCTTTTACTTTTACTACTAGAAAGAGAAGCTAACAAAGGAAACCCTCTTCAAAAAATGGGATTTCCTTGGCCTTAGCAGTTCTGGTGTGTTCCATTGCCAACACTAGGTAGGAAGAATTTGAGTCGTGATGTTTGTGATTAAATATCGGCCTGGCTCAAACTTCCCAAAGAGAGGGAATTCACCATGCGTTCCACAGTTTTATTCTGAGGAAGAAACTAACAGAAACAGAATTTTAGAGCCTTAGAGCTCTCATTACAAAAGGCCCCTCACTGTGAGTGGTGCATCCTGAGCCTAGTTTAGATGTGTGTACTGAGCCCAGTACAAATGTATGTACTGAGCCCAGAGCTATTCGGCCTGTTGGTGGTGGGGGTGGTTAGGATTAGATGATGACACTCCAATGAGTTAGTCTATGATGCTGTGTCCTAGATTGTGCTCAGGATTAAAGACCTGATTAAAAGACCTTTTTGACTGAAGAATGTTCTTAAACCTGGGCATCCAATCAGCTTTAAACGGGTTGCAATTAAACATAATGCTATGTGTTCATTGTTAATTGCAAACGAAATGTCCAGTGTTGATAGAAATTACCACTAAAGCCTTGATTCTGGAAGAAGCTAGAGAAATGGCTCTTGGGTTTCTAATACTGACATTTCTTTGGTGACTGGTTCCCATGAATGACCTCAACTTCCACTGAAATCCACAAGAAAACCAAAAAATGCAAACTGCAAGCCTGAATATGTCTGCAAATTACCTGTGTCTTTAATGTGTCTTGAACAGTTGGATACATGCTTGATATTTTGTGGCAATATAATACTAGTGCCAGGACTCCACTTTTGGTATCACTTTTAGTATTTAGTATTATCGTTTTATCTTTCAATACATTAGCAAAGCTTCTTACGGTATTGTTCTGCCTTTCCAAATCAACAGGTGATAGTAGGAAAACAGGAATAATCACCCAGGAATCATTATTTGATTGAGAGTTATTAGGGAGTGATAAGAAACTTGACAATAAGAATGGAAACATTAAATGAAGGTGGGGGAAAAAAGAAGTATCTACCAAAGAAAATGTTTTATTCATCAATAATCATAACAATGGAAATGGATTATGAAAACACCTAAAGAAATCTTCACTAATAAGTTTGACTATACTTATTCCAGTCTCTGTGACATCAAATCTCATGAATTTCTAAAAAGAAAATATGACTCAAAATTAACAAACACTCCTTTCAAAGAAGACACATGTCCTATTTATGAGTGCTTTTAATAGTCTCTTAGCAGAGGCACATTTGGAAGCTAAATTGAATCACGGTGACTAACACTTTCTCTGAAATCCCCAATCCGATGCTGAGGCACATGGCTCAGAAACAATCTCAATATCAAATAAGTAAACCACAAAAAAGAAAAAGAAGCTCTCAAATATCCCTTTCCCACACGTTTCCCAAGTATATACACATATGTAGACAGTACAGGCTAGAACTGGAATTTTTTTTTCCTAAACATTTGCTGCCCCCACGTGTCCCTTTAGAAAACTGAGTGTTAAAGCTAAATCATGTTCATTAGGACCTCCTATACAGCATTCACAGGTTACATACGCTTAAGTAAGATCACAGAAACAGCCGCGCGTTTGTGGAACGCGCCAGAGACAGGGCGGGGAAGCAGGAAGGGGAGAAGCTGACTTTTGCCACAGACTCCTGAGGTAATCCCCAGTAATTACATAAGGTCCAGGTGTCTCTGTCTCTTCAGACTTGAAATGGGTGGCAACCTGGTGGGACGGGGCAAGTAGCCAGATTTTGACTAAGGTTCCATCTAGCTCTAATATCTGATCACTCTCATTGAGGATGATAAAAGAGAAGTGGGGAAATCCAGTTATCCCATTTCTGGCTAAGACGTCACTTTGGAGGGGTGCCAGAAACTCATGAATGAACTTCCTGTTTCATAACTGGAATCCATTACCTTGGTTCTCTGTCATCTTGACAAACTTGCTTCCCAATGTCTGAGTGGCTCTGAGCCTAAGGAGACAAGAAGGAATTTGTTTCTTTAATGTCCAGTGATTATGCAGTATCCTGCTCAAGATTACAAAAATAAAAACCATCTTCCATGTTTATAGTATGTATCAGTAGCCGGTGCCTCAACGGCTCTGACTAGTTTTCCTTTTTTTTTTTTTGACAGAATCTCACTCTGTCACCCAGGCTGGAGTGCAGTGGCGTGATCTTGGCTCACTGCAACCTCTGCCTCCTGGGTTTAAGTGAGTCTCCTGCCTCAGCTGGGGTTACAGGCACGCCTACCACGCCTGGCTAATTTTTGTATTTTTAGTAGAAACAGGGTTTCACCATGTTGGTCAGGCTGGTCTTGAACTCCTGGCCTCAAGCAGTCCACCTGCCTTGGCCTCCCAAAGTGCTGGGATTACAGGCATGAGTCACCTCACCTGGCCACTAATTTTTAAATCTCCACAATACCGTGATGGGCATGGCAAAGTCATTCTCTCCCTATTCCAGGTCAACCACGTGTTTAAAGAAAGGCTGGGTCCCTCCCTTGCCCAAGGAGGTGAACTTCGACTCATCTAAGAACTAGACTAGTCACTGGTCCTCACCCTTCACCGTTAATCAGAATCTTTTGGGGAGCTCTATAAAAATACTAATGCCCAGGCCCATCTCCAAAGATTCTGATTTAATTGGTTTAGAGTTTAACAGTTTTTGAAAACTCCCCAAATGATGCTGTGAGCAGCTTGGGTTGTGAATCACTTATCTAAGTCATTATCATAATTCCATTTTCCTTTCTGATGATTAGGAATGAGTACATAATATAATATTTTAGCCAGTGAGATTTAAGGGGAAATATGACTGGAAGTAGGGACTACTGGATCATTTTCCTCAGACTTAAAAAGGAACAGAAGATTGTGTCTTTACTGTGTCTTCCAGGCTTTGGTTGTTACCAAGTGGGGATATAAGGGATGAGATGTCTGGAGCTGCTGCAGCCAGTTTGTGACTATAAAGGAAGCTCCCACATAGAGGAAGCTTCCACATGGCAGAGTTGAAAGATTGGAAGAATTCCCAGTCTTTGATGGTCTTGTTAAGCTACTGAGTTAAGTGATACTATAGCTATCCTAACTCGGGACTTATTATAAAAGAATGTGAGTAAAAGACATATAGTTGGAAGGCCAGGTGTGGTGGCTCATGCCAGTAATCCTAGCACTTTGGGAGGCTGAGGTGGGAGGGTCATGGGGGCTCAGGAGTTCAAATCCAGACTGCACAACATAGCGAGACCTTGTCTCTACAAAAAAAATACATATATTAAAAGATGAAAAAAAAAAAGAAAGGCATAATTGGAGCCAAAATCATTCTAATTGATAACACTGATAGTTCTAAAGAAGTAAGCACAAAACTTTTTTTTTTTTTGGAATTGAGTCTCACTGTGATGCCCAGGCTGTAGTGTGTTGGCATGATCTCCACTCACTGCAACCTCCTCCTTCCCTTTTCAAGCAATTCTCCTACCTCAGCCTCCCGAGTAGCTGGGAATACAGGCATGCGCCACCCACCCAGCTAATTTTTATATTTTTAGTAGAGATGGGGTTTCACCATGTTGGCCAGGCTGGTCTCAAACTCCTGACCTCAGGTGATTCACCTGCCTCAGCCTCCCAAAGTGCTGGGATTACAGGCGTGAGCCACCACGCCCGGCCAGCACAAAGATTTTTAACTGGGTTCCTCAAACTATGCTCCTGAAACCCTGGGATCCCATGGGATTTTGCTAGTGTCCTACAGGGACATTTTATAAGTGGGATTTTGTGTGGGTGTATAAATGTTTCCACAGTAAAATGTGTGAGGATATAATTTCAGAATATTATTTGGTTCACTTCTGTCTTCAAACTGAAGTTCATCATTTATTTGCAAATATAAAATAAGGACTGGGGCAGAAATAACCTATAAGTAGATTTTTTTTTCTTCTTGAGACAGGGTCTCACTCCATCACCCATGCTGGAGTGTAGTGGGGTGATCTTGGCTCACTACAGCCTCCGCCTCCCAGGCTAAAGTGATCCTCCCACCTCAGCCTCCCGAGTTGCTGGGACCACAGGCACATACCACTAAACTCAATCACTATTTTTTTTTTTTTTTAGGGCTGGGGTTTTACTATGTTGCCCAGGCTAGTATTAAACTCCTGAGCTCAAGGGATCTGCCCTCCTCAGCCTCCCAAAGTGCTGAGATTACAGGCATAAGCCACCACACATAGCCAGGAAAATGCCTTATTTCACCTGAGTAAGATGAAACCTAAAAATAAGGGAGATTTTTCTTAGAATGCATACAAACTTAATCCCTAAACTGTCGTGATATGTATAATTCTTTTATTTTTTATTTTTTTATTTTTTTAAATTTATTTATTTATTTATTTATTTTGAGACGGAGTTTCACTCTTGTTACCCAGGCTGGAGTGCAATGGCACGATTACAGGCACGCGCCACCATGCCCAGCTGATTTTTTGTATTTTTAGTAGAGATGGGATTTCACCATGTTGACCAGGATGGTCTTGATCTCTTGACCTCGTGTCCACCCGCCTCGGCCTCCCAAAGTGCTGGGATTACAGGCTTGAGCCACCGCGCCCGGCCTTTTTGTATTTTTTTAATCTGACAATTATGTGCCTTGGGGTTGCTCTTCCTGAGGAATATATAATTCTTAATGTTATTTTTACTATCACCATCTTCCATGTGATCATTATTATTATTTTATTTTATTTTATTTTATTTGAGACAGTCTTGCTCTGTCACCCAGGCTGGAGTGTAATGGCATGATCTCAGCTCACTGCAACCTCTGCCTCCAGGTTCAAGCAATTCTCCTGCCTCAGCCTCCCAAATAGTTGGGGTTACAGGTGTGTGCCGCCACACCTGGCTAATTTTTGTATTCTTAGTGGAGACGGGGTTTCATCATGTGAGCCAGGCTGGTCTCGAATTCCTGACCTCAGGTGAGATCCACCCGCCTTGGCCTCCCAAAGTGCTGGGATTACAGGTGTGAGCCGCTGAGCCTGGCTGATGATTGTTTTTAACATTTAGCTTTAGTGGCTTAAATGCTTTGATTGGGGTCGGGCACGGTGGCTCACGCCTGTAATCCCAGCACTTTGGGAGGCTGAGGCGGGTGGATCACAAGGTCAAGAGATCGAAACCATCCTGGTCAACATGGTGAAACCCCGTCTCTACTAAAAATACAAAAAATTAGCTGGGCATGGTGGTGCGTGCCTGTAGTCCCAGCTACTCAGGAGGCTGAGGCAGGAGAATTGCCTAAACCCAGGAGGCGGAGGTTGCGGTGAGCCGAGATCGTGCCATTGCACTTCAGCCTGGGTAACAAGGGCGAAACTCCGTCTCAAAAAAAAAAAAAAAAGTTTTGATTGGGCATGGTGGTTCACGCCTGTAATCCTAGCACTTCAGGAGGCTGACTATAAAGGAAGAAGATCTCTTGAGCCCAGGAGTTCAAGGTTGCAGTGAGCTACAGTTGTACCACCGCGCTTCAACCTGGGCAATACAGCAAGACCCCATCACTAAAAATAAAAAATAAAAAAAATTGGTGTTTGAAAACTCCTGCACTTAAAGGCCTTCTCTTTCACTCTTAGCTTTTGTTGTCATTTTCATCATGAATGTACTCATTGTCACTTGATACACAGGATTCGAAATCCTACTCATGTTTATAATTCCTACTTTCAATATCATAACATTATGCCAGAATACTCATACACCAGCAAACTCTGCCTGACAAAACAATGGATAAGTGACCATACCCCGAGTTGCTTGGAGGAACTTGACTCTAGTCTTATGTTTTGCACACTTATGCACACTTATGCACATTTATGTTTCCTAAGCATACTGGCATGGCACTTGCTCTATGAATTATATGCAGATGTACACAGACTTAAACGTGCACACATATGAGAGAGATATTACTTTTATCCTGATCACCATCTATTAAGACATGAAACTTAAAAATTCGAAGCCCCAAAGGCAGGAAATGCAATTTATTAAGTTAACTTAGGTGGGTTTTCAAACATTTTTCTCCGTTACCAGATGATCTAATATTTAACTGAATAGAAAACAGATTTATAGTGTGGAAAATATTTGTGTATTCTTACCTAAATCATGATCCATTATTTACCTTCTCTCTGTGTACCAAGAAACCAAAGACATTTAATGGGCATGATTACCAACTATAATCAGAAGTATGTATCGAGGGAGAGCCAGAGGGGATGTGTCCCTAGAATAGGCTTTAGAGTGACAGATGTGAAGTCATTGTCCTTAGAGCTACAGTTCAGTTTGGTGGAAGAGCAAAGTGCCCATTCGTCATTCCCAGGGTTTTGCCATTTCTGCAATGATTCTCATTGCAGTCTCTATTTCCATGCTGCACCCATATTTTCCCAAAGCTGATTAGTTTAACTACAATATATATCTTTCTCAAAACCTGCTAATGTAACAGGTAGGAAATGCTCAGTATTTGGGTCTGTTGGTGAGTTTCCTGAGTAGCATGTGACCGGAGTGGGAAGAACAGGATTCTAATATCAGCCTAGCCACAGGCTGGCTGTTACGTCCTTGGGCAAGTTTCTTCTTGTCTCTGGGTTGCATTTTCTGACCTGTAATGCAAGAGTATCAGTCTCAACGATCTCTGAGGCCCTTTCTAGCTCTTGGAGACCCTGGAATCAGATTCATACATCTGTGAGCTGAGTTTCCAAACCACACAGCCTGGAAACAATTCTAAAAATAAAACATACAACTAAGAAAGCAGTCACAAGACTAGAAAACATAATCACACATATTCTGTCACTGGTAACAAAAGAGTTGCATACATATGCAAATCAGTCCTATTTATTATTATCATTTTTTTAGAGACAGGGTCTTGCTCTGTTGCCCAGGCTGGAGTGCAATCACAGCTCACTGCAGCCTTGAACTCCAATGCTCAAGCAATCCTCCTGCCTCAGCCTCCCAAGTAGCTGGGACCACAGGTGAACATCACCACACTTGGCTAATTTTTTATTCATATTTTCATTATAGAAGAGTTCTCCCTTTGTTGCCCAGGCTGGTCTGAAACTCTTAGCCTCAAGTAATCCTCCTGCCTCAGCCTCCTAAAGTGTTGGGATTACGGGCATGAGGCACTATGCCTGGCCAAGTCAATCCTATTTTAGATTCATCATTATTCATTAGACAAAGTATTTTCACTTATTTGTATCTCACCCTAACTTATAAAATCCAAATAATGTTTGTCTGACATGAAGATAACATGCTACTTAATCCTGGTATTGACTTCACTTAAGAGGGCTACACAAATAATGCCAATAATATTCAATAATATAATAAAAATTATGACTTTTTTCTAAGGGAACTGAGTCATATAGGCCTTGAATAAATTATATAAAATAATCTTGTTTTTGTTTTTGTTTTTTTGAGATGGAGTTTTACTCTTGTTGCCCAGGCTGGAGTGCAGTGGCACAATCTCGGCTCACTGCAACCTCCAAGTTCAAGTGATTCTCCTGCCTCAGCCTCCCGAGTAGCTGGGATTATAGGCATGCACCCCCATGTCTGGCTAATTTTCTGTATTATTAGTAAAGACGGGGTTTCACCATGTTGGCCAGGCTGGTCTTGAACTCCTGACCTCAGATGATCCGCCCACCGTGGCCTCCCAAAGTGCTGAAATTTTAGGCGTGAGCCACCGCACCTGGCAATAATCTTTATAGTCAAGTTTGCTGTTTTGTGTGTGTGTGTGTGTGTGTGTTTAAACACAAAAAAACACAAAACAGCCAAGGCAGGCGGATCACAAGTTCAGGAGTTCGAGACCAGCCTGACCAACATGGTGAAACCCCATCTCTACTAAAAATACAAAAATACAACAACAGAATTAGTTGTTTTCTTTTTTATTTTGTTTTGTTTTAGAGGCAGAGTCTCACTATGTTGTCCAGGCTGATCTTGAACCACTGGCCTCAAGCAGTCCTCCCACCTCAGCCAAGTTTTATAGTGTTCCTCTGTCTATTATTTTAGCCGTAGACACCTGGAGCTGAAAAACCATGAGAAATTG